ATTAAAAGATATCACGATTTTCCGACGCCAGGACGTGATATCTTTCAAAATCGATAAAAAGCGAAATTACTCTGAAATGGTTGAGAATCGGACCATGGTCAATATGAACTTTTTTGTTCATTTTAGGGTCAAGAATCTACTGGTGAAGTTTGTAGCACGAGTAGCAAGTCACTCTCAAACATTAGCAATCCTTGAACCACCATTTTTTCTCTTTTTGTCATCAACATCTTGGTCTCACAACCACTAAATAAGAAAATGACGAGTGCGTTGGAAGCGTTATTAAATCAGGTAGTTTTCCTCAAATTTGCTGCCTTCTGAGACTAAAATTAGAAACTCTGGATTACTTTATACACTTTCCGATTTACACAATTTTCCACTCTTTTTGTAGTTCTGGCTGAAATAAAACACAAAAAATTAGCCCAAACATTTTGCCACCGTCATCTTCTTATTGAAAAATTAACGGGAATTTCAACGGTGCTATTAGATTTTCAGAGAAATGTTTAGATTAAAAGATATCACGATTTTCCGACGCCAGGACGTGATATCTTTCAAAATCGATAAAAAGCGAAATTACTCTGAAATGGTTGAGAATCGGACCATGGACAATATGAACTTTTTTGTTCATTTTAGGGTGAAGAATCTACTGGAGAAGTTTGTAGCACGAGTAGCAATTCACCCTGTATAAGTTAAATAACTTCAACTGCGGATTCCTTTAAAAAAAACTTTATTTGAAGTTACAAGAACAAGTTTTAACCTAATTTAACGTTGTACTCTCGTCAAGTTCTAGGCAAAGAATCCTCATTAAAAAATACAGAATTAAATAAGTAGGTCTCTTGGGAGGGAAAATGTGCTGACCACAATACTAGGAATAACCTGCATCTAAGCGTTGTAAACAGATAATTTCACATAACTTAAATATATAAACGATGATTGCTAATCAAATGTGGTCCGCTAATTTTCGCCTTGTCTGTTGTCAAGCGCGTTTTGCCTCAGTGGAGGTTAATATCTTTAAATTTAGCGATTAATTTAGAAAAAGGCTAGAACCACGTCCACCGAATGGATTTTCACAAAAAAAAAATTTATCAGATTTAAGCAGTTCAAACTTTTATTCTTTCCAATTAATAAAACGTGTAAATTTGTACGTCGTTAACAATTATTCTCTTATCGACCGCCGATCCTCGCTAGGCATATTGTAAGTTCCTCCTTTACAAGATTGTCGCAATGAAAACACGAACGTTCCGGCCAACTAATGAATTTTCTGTGTAAACCAGGCAGATCCAGTGCTGAAAAAAAATTCTCCGAGCACTCTTCGATCTCTCAGCTTGCAACCAATTTGTTATACCGCGTGTTTTTACTTTTTTGTTTTTTCTTTATCGAAATGGCTGCCATCTGGGAACACTTTTAAACTTTTAGAATAACTATACATAAAGTACACTTTTCCAAAGACACGCCAGTTTCTTGTTTGTCAGACCAAAGTTCTTGTAAACTTTCCCATGTTACTCTTTTATTTCTGATTCTTTCCGCTACCCACTCACTTTGTATCCATTCTTTTAAGCAGCATAATTTAGATTTTTTGGTGTTTGTTAATAAAAAGTAAATTCTTTAAACATTTATTTGAACGTTCGGGTTTAGTACCCATCTTCAGCAACTTATATTTGTTTAAAATGTTTCATTATTTTGAGTTGCTTTACAGATATAGGACCATACGTATATATATTTACTTAATTTATTTTTATTATTATATTTTATTATATTGAATTATCGAATCCTGAGTTTCATTTTATTTTTTTACCCTTATTTTATTTTTATTAATTAGAAGTCATAATTGTTCAGTTAAAAGTTGTTATTATTTTTATATACACCTGTACATGTATTATATACAACCAGCAGATTTATTATGAGATAGATTATGTTTGTGGCATTACGAGCGTTATAGGGAAAGCTACCCATTGGAAGTGGCTCTGGATTAGTAAAATATGAATCATTTGAGAAGTCTCTTATCCATATTATTTTCAGACGTTTACGTGGTAATTGCAGGGAATGGAATAATCGTGTTTGTGTGTTAGTGTGATTTTGTAATTTACTAGGGAAACGTCTGTAATATGCTTTGATGGATGAAAAACTGTTGGCATGTTAAGATATTTGTGAAGTGTTCTTGTTTATGTAAAAAAGGGCAGAAACAATTAGTCTTAAAATCTTTGGTTGAAAACTTTGTAATCTTTGAATATTGGAAAATTTGACCGATCCATAATCTCGGCACCAGTACATCCAAATAGGTTTGAGTAAGTACGCCGAAAGTTTTGATTTTGAAAGGTAATGAAGCATTTGAAATCGTTTGTTGGGTGAGTGGTTTTTTAATTTTGTGCGTGTGGATTCTATCAAATATAAGTCCTAATAGTTAACTTAGTTGGATTGAAAAACAGATGTGTGTAATGCGAGAACGTCTCACGACATAGTGTATAGGTGATATGTTGTGACTTTGACGGGTTAAACTTTATTTTCCCAAGATTGCTCCATTTTTCAGTTTTTGATATGTGGTTTTGTAACAATAGTGAAGCTTGTGTAAAAGAAGGATGTCTTGAACTTGATATATAAAATGATTTTTTTGTTATGACAATTGCTTGATTTTGAGAAGATTGACTTCCACTTAGTCTGGCGAATCACGTTCGTTTGTTCAATTTTATTAATTAAAAGTATTGTTTTAATAGAAATAAATTTCAACCGCTTACTGTTGAAAAAAAGTAAAAATATAAATGGAAAAATTATATATGCACACAGTAATTACTCTTGGGGTTTGGGATTAATTTTTTTTAAATTCAGTGGAATTAATTTGTCTTTTCGGTATATTCAACAATGAAATCCTTTTTAATTTGACAATACTCTCCCTTTTTTTTTTTTATTAAACGGTGACATTTGAAGGAGAATGGAAACGTGTGCTTAGGACTTTCATCCTTGGGAGTGGGCTGGGGAGAGGAGGGCGAGGAACCCCCGGGAACCCCGGTCAAGGCCTCGGTGCCCATCCCTCTCGCAGGGTTCACAGGTTCAACTCCAACCCCCTCCCGGGCGGTCCTCCGCCCTGCACCCGTTTGAGGTTTGGGGCTAATTACAAGAGATCTCCGATTGTGCCCGGCTTTGAAATACAAAACCCCCTCGGGGTGAAATTGGTGAAATCAAAGAGCTTTTCAACCGTGTCGAGGGGGCCGCTCGATACTTTTGAATAATATGAACTTCGCCCTATCCGGCCGCCCCTTTTAAAAGTCAATTATTTACTGTCTGTATAAGTAAATTTTAATTCGCCTCCCCACCCCCTCAAATGCTCAGAAAATCGAAACGTTCATGATTTTTTTATCGGCCTCCTTTATTTTATATTAGGCTTTTTTGGGGAATTTTGTGCTGACACGCTATCAAAAATGTGTCTTATACACGTTAATGGCAAAAACGTGTAAATAACTAATTGACCTCAGCAATCTGGCCTATAGGCTTTTTCTCATCGCCAGTCGATAAACACTTCGCAGGGATTTCTAACAAAACCGTGGGTCGTCCTACAGGCTCGTAATTAGATAATAAAATATATTTTAAGACAGGAAACGTGTTTTGTCTCGTGTGAAGGATAATTTTTCCGCTTACGTAAACTCTGTTAATTAAGGTTTGCTGTTGGCTTCTTATCTAACGAAAATTCTTTTTGGGTACCGTCAACTTCACTTCGCAAAAAAAAAAATACTAACAAAATAACTTCCTTATTGGGGCAAACTTATTCTCATCTTTGACAAGAGACCATTTATAAAAATACAAATATAACACATTTTAACTATTAATAAGACATTACTTAAAATAAACTAAAAGTCTGTTAGAACTACGAACTTCTTTTTTCGTTTGCTGACCTTCCTTTTACATTTTTTTATATGAAAATTTTATTTTATTTTTATCCTATTTATTTATTCAAGGTAGTAAATATTTTTGTTATTACATCGTTGTGAGTACAAAAATAAATACCACAGAGCATTATAACCAATTTTAACATTGTTTCAGGTACATATTTTTTAAGTTATGTACAGGGTAATTCGCTATTCGTACAATAAATTTCGTCATGCGATTCTACACCTCAAATGCAGCAAAAAAGTTCGTACGGCCCTTAGTCCGATGTTCAACCCTTTCGCAGATATTCGACATTTTATGGTTCTATTTTCAGCTATCTAAGGTTTTCGTCATAAATCTCTTGAAATATTAATTTTTGAGGAAAGGAAAAAATTGAAAAGTGCGTTAAATTTTCTTCTAGAACTTTCACATTAATTTGTTGTAAAAAAAGAATATATATATATATATATATATACAAAGTTGCAACCTCAATGTAAAAAATCACGGTAGAGCTTGGCAAATTCATCACTTCATCGTTTAATACGCTTTCTAGCGGCATAACCTTTTCTTTAGTTACATCGAAATTCAGAAATTTTATGCTAAATTCTAAAAAGTGGTGACTGTGAGCAAAAAGGGAATGGGTTTAATGTACAAATTCAACGTTTTGTCGTGGGTAAAATTTATTTTTCAACTTTAACTTAATAAAAAAGTGCAAAAGATAAAAAAGAGACAAGAAACAACGAACAACCAAAGCAGAATAATTGGACAAAATATCTATCTACTAAACACTGACAGAAGAAAAAACAGAACAATACAGAAGCTGTATAAACGAACTTTAATCTATTAAAAAAGCACAAAAAAATTCGACTTAATTTGGTTGTTTACCATGTTTATTGTACTTTTTTATGTGTTGTTCGATTTTTTTAAATTAAATTATAGTTAGGAAATGAATTTTGCCGTTTTAATTATTGGTTCCTGATTAGTCTTGAGTCTAGATGGAACCCAAGGCCGCTACGCAGTCTGTTTTTGTGATAGGAGTATTATTGATGAATATTGTATGAGGTTTTCCTTCGAAGGGTGTATGATACATGTGTGCTTTTGCTTTCATTAAGCTTTATACGCCTTTTTTATACTGCTATTTTCAGGACCTGTGCCCGGACTCCTCCGAAGCAATTGTAGGAAGAGAGGATAACAGATCTGTGTTGTCAGCAAAGGATGCAAGGATGGTGTAGGCTGATGGGACATGTGCGGTAGAAAGGAGGTAAAGGATCGATCCAAGTACACTGCCCTGAGTTACTCCCTCTCCCAGAAAACAATAATTGGAGTAGCTAAATATCGGTTCAAAAGAGGTATTAAAATTTTGAAACTTCTATTATAAAATAACGACAGTAATATGAACTAAACAAAAAAGATTCTTTCGTCTTCTTCTAACTTCTAAAAAATAAATTAAATATTCAAAATGTTCGCAATCCTTGGCTTGTTTTCTCAAAAATTTCATAAGATACTAGAGACTTTATAGAATAAAGTTGTGCAAATTTAAACTAACCTGTAAAGTGGAATATCTCGTATACAATTGAAAATCAGACTTTGGACAATAGAGACTTTTTAATAGTAGGACAACCTCTTGAAGTATTGATGCCTGTTCAGGCAACACCTTATATATATTTTTTTTTCAATTAAAATTTTAATTATAATATTACGTATTTATTGAGATATTTTCATATTTTTCAGCCTTAGTGTTATGGACCTAGGGATAGGTATAAAAGAGGTGGCCTTCTGCATCTCGACCTCAGTAGATCTATTGTGCCATCTAATTTTAAAAATCACTTGCTAGCTTCAGGTTGTTAATCAACTTCCATAGCCTTGCTTAGCGCCTTCTTAGTAGAATCTCGCTTGCGTTTTTTTCTCTCCTAGTTGTAAGAACCTGCACCTGAGTAGACCTTCACAAAAACTGTGTTCTGCGCTCATCTTCCTGGCAGTGTCTGCATCTCCTGTGACCTGTCAATAGTCCAAAGTTAACGTCTTGACTGACGGTTGTTAATACAAGAGGAATTATAAAACACTAAATACATATATTTTACTAAGAAAAATGTAAGAGTGTGTGCAATCATGACAACCGCCTACTGTCGCTGTGTATATCGTATGCTTTCATGTAAGCTTTATCCAAGGATGAGAGTAAAAATAATAATAATAATAATAAAATTTTATTTGCAAAAATGCACATTACATATAAATTTACCACAAAAAATAATGTTTCGGTACATCGCTGCCTGCTGTTAAAAGCAAAGGTTGTACTAGTCAGCAGGAGTTTTTGGAGATACTCAGGGAAATAAAGAGAATATATTTTTTCATAAGCGTAATGAAAAACAAACAAATAAACAAACATAATGCAGAATAAACGTGCATTATGAAAAAACAAACCAAATTAAATCTTTACTTTCAAATATCTTAACTACAGTTTAAAAATTTTTTAAAAATTATAAATTTTTTGCTTTCTTTGTAGTTTTTGAAATTTTAAATGATGATCCTCTCTTTAAAAAAAAATAAATAACGAAGTATCATATTTAATGAAAAATTATAATATTGCGTAGACTTTACATCGAAAAAATGGGAGTTAGCCAATGAATTGTGTCTTGTGTTATATCCACTGATGTAACTAGTTATAAAATTATTTGTATATAAAAAACATGAACATTGAAGAAAAATTTGGTAAAGATTCAATACTTTAAATTCACCGTTTAATTTTTTCGTATTATATTTATACGGTTTACGTGAAAAAATTTTAAGAATTGGGTTTATAGTTAGATTCAGAGTGTAGCATTTATTAGTACATGGAAACAATACCATAGTGTATTATGGATTGTGCAAGAGAAAAATACATTGCCCTTAAGAGTTCAATTTTCATAAAGTTGCCTAAAATTCTAAATTTATAAAAGAGCTTTCTCAGACGGGAAACCAAAGAATCGATACGTAAATTAAATTTCAAATTTGAGTCCAATGTCACACCAAGATAACACTGTAAGCAAATAGACAAGCAAGAACTTACATCATTACCATCACAAGTATGAAAAGCAAATTTTAAATTATTAGTATTTATTTTCTTTTTCAATGAAAAGTGTAATACATTACATTTTTGTGTTTAAAAGTAGAAAGTTTGAGTTTAAACAAAATTAATAATTTTCATATCATTATTTATAGTTTTAGTTAAATTAATTAAATTATCACCTGAGAAAATGATACAAGTAACATCTGCATAACTAAATATTTTTCCAGAGAATTTAATTTTCAAAAAATCATTAATATATAAAAGAAACAAAATTTAAGACTGTACCTTGTGTTACTCCCGATTCAATGCGTAAAGAAGAACTGTAAACTGTTCCAACCTTTGTGACTAGGGTTTTATCCGATAAATATTATTCAAGGGGCTTAAGGGAATATTAGAGACACTAATTCACTCAAATCTTTTGAGCATCCACTTATGATCAACAGAGCCGAAAGCCATTTTAATGTCCAGAAACAAACCAATAGCGTAATTACCTTTGAAATCAAATTAATAACATCAAATAAAGCACCTGCGCAGTGGATAAAAAAATACAAGACTTAACAAGACATAAAGGGGCGTAGATGGCCGCAACGGTTTAGGCGTTGACACGGCGCTCATCACTATAAGGTAAAGGTCCCGGGTTCGAATCCAGCGGCCCTGAATTTGAACCCGACATACTTACAAATCGGCTTTTTTTTTTTCCAAAAACACCGGCACCCTGAGGGTTTATACGACCTTTGCTGTTGCGAACCCTCGTAAAAAATAAAATAATAACACAAGACATAAAAAATATCATTGTTTTTGAATATAGTTAAGTGTAAGGCGTGACCTAATATCATGAACTGTTTGGTCATGGTGGCTTTATATGAACAATTAATATAATTTATTTACACATTAAATTAATTTATACATTGTACATTATAATAAGGGTGAATGTTGAAAATGGCTGAGGAAATGAAAGATTGTGGCAATTATGCGCCTGTCAATACTGCTGAAACGATTTTAAATGGAAATAATCGCTGCTTGGACTGTGGCTCTGACAGAAAGGACAATGGAATATTTGAAGAAGGGGAGCAACAAGTCGTCGATTTTCGGTATCGGTCAGATTAACATTTTTCAAAAGTTCCACCGTTTCAAGTGGAGTTTGTCAGCGGCGATGGTAAAATTTCAAAAGAATCGATATTATACAGTAATGTATAAAGTTCATCTCATATTCACGGCCGGGATTCGTAAATCCGCATGTGGACTTTGATGTGTTTATGGCGGTCTGCAGGAGCAGCCCCGGGGGGCGGAGGGTGGGATGTAATGTAATAGACGGAAGGGTGGGTTGTTGCCGGGGGAAGCCCGTATCCTTGGCCGAGGGCGGGACTCTTCCAGGGAGCAACAAGTAGGTAGGGTCGAGATACTATAGCGCAAGGCTACTACGCAACCCGTACTACACTCAGCTGGGGCTAGTACGCAATATTCGATATCCAGTGGAGCACCCTTCCCACCCTCCCGACCTCCGGCCCAGCCGACCGCCCCCACCAGGGCATAGAAACCCGTGGAAACCAGGCCCCCGGATTTGATTGTCTCTAATTAAATTTGAAATTGCTTTTTGCGCTACCAGAGTAGGTATAACAGTGTAAATATTGATCAACATCAGCTTGCATCAAAAGCAATTTTTTCTATTCTGATGATTTTTGGCTCCAAAGCCCTCTTTAGGCCTTACACAATATTAGAAGCCATCGTCTATTTATATATAAACGCTTGGTATTTTCTTTTTTTATCTATCCAGTGGCTTAGTCTCGCTTTTTGGAATTTCACCATCATCGAATCATCACCATCAGACTGGAGTTTTTTTCTTTGATTTTTCAATCCTCTTGTCTTTTAGGGGTCATTTTGGATCTGCGTTACCCTTTTGTAATGAAAAACAGAGCGACATCGACTACACAGGCACAAAAGACAGACAAGTAAAATTGGGTTAAACTATCAAAGTCGTGGACTGAAAAGCAAACTGGACAGTTCACCTCGCACAAAACAATCCCAGACTCTCACCAACACTGATGAGTTTAAAATTGTTCCATGGCGTTAAAAACTGTCATACTTGAAGAATTAAACAACTATAAACTCAAGAAATAGATTGTTTATATTTTCTCTTTTTTCAACGCTTTGAGCACTTGCAAGAATTGACGGTTATTCCTCATGTAAAGACATAAGGCATTAAAAAAGTCTTGTGATGATGATTTAACTTCTAATTGTGATGTGAGGCGGTGACATGGTGTGAGGTAGATGTGAGGCGGACGTGGTCGATGAGGTGGTGAGATAAATGTAAGACGGAGGCGGAGGCTGTCCCAGGGACCGGCCTATCTTATCTCCTATGGGCTGTGCCAGGAGTCGGACAGTCCACTGTGTTTGCTGTAACCGATGTCACTATTTTTCATTAAATCATCGTTCATTTTTACTCAAACCATCTCTTTTTTTACGCAGTTGGAAGTATTTATATTCAACTATCGTTTATCCTTTAATCTCTCGTAAGATAATTCTTCCCTCCTTCAATACCACGCATCTTGATTTCTTCGTTAGTTTTGGGTTCATACTTTCATCATACTTGTTTTTGAATTGTTAATTATTCGCTTTACTCATGATTTTCTTTTTAGATATGCTTTATCCAATATTTTCCAGGACCCAACCATCGTTAAATTTCCTTTTCTGCAGCATAGCCTCAGTAAATGGATAGAATATTTCTCGCCTTTGCTGCCTAGCTCGTTTTGTAAAGTGACCCGTGTGATGGGAGAGCTCCTAGTCCTCTTCATTTCATGCCGGCGTTTACCACCCTCTCTCATGTGCACCCACTTCAGGACTAAGAACCTCCCAAGACTAAGGACACAATCGGGGTGTAACATTGAATTTATTTTTTGCCTTTCCGAACATAACACCTACTTCAAGTGCTGATAGGTAATGTTTTAAGAAAAAAAGTATATGGATTAAAAGGGACTGAGGAGGCTGGGTGGTTAGGGGGCGGAGGTTCGTATTTGTCGCACTGGAGGTTCTGTGTTCGAATCTCGGCATGGCACTTGGACTTGTAATTTAGAATGATTTGGAAAAAGTATTGTAAAGTGTTGTACATCTCGTCCACGACACCCAACGCGTTTAGGACGTTAAGCCCTCTTGTTTGAGATGATGAATAAACATATAGTTTTTGTTTAGAGATGTGTCAAAGGATGCCAATATAGATCACTAGTTAAATAGATATGTTAACTCTGTATTGGTTGAAAAGAAAAAGTAAGTGCCACTAGCGGGATTCGATCCCACGACTTTCGGCTA